AAAAAAAAAAAAAATTATTCTATCTATTGTTAACAATCTAATCTTCTTATTTATCTAACAACTTACTTAAACAATTTCATAATATTAAAATTCTTAATCATCAAAATATTTTTTTTAATTATGATTTTCATATTAAAGAAATTCTTATTACAAGTACAATAAATAAAACAAAATTGTTTGAGAAAATAATAAAATAAAAAAACAGTTTTTACAGTTTGTCGAAATATATTGTCCTTATTTATCATACCAACTTAATTTGAGAAAATATTTTTCAATCAATTTATGTAATATAAAAAATTCCAAAATCTTGAGGATCTCTTAAAAATTCAATCTCCTTATTTATATTACGACTTACTTAACAAACCACACGTGTTTCTACCCAAGAGCGCTTGGATGAGATGGCTTGGGTCTCTTCCAGCTTAACCAGAGGTCTCGAGTTCGAGCCCTGGGAATGCAGCAGTGTTAAAACTCTTGAGGGAGAGCTTTGCCGCCCTTGTGGTCCTACCCGGCTCGATTCCGGATTAGTCGGTTCCCTTGTGGATCTGGAAACCGGAAGGTCCCTGTACCAAAAAAAAAAAACAAACCACACGTGTTTCTAATAATAAAAATCCAACAAATTTTTCAATCAATTTTGAAACTTTAATAATATTTTCATAGATCACTATAAATTTTAAAGATTATACTATGGTGAGGTGAGTGTATAGCTTTCAAACTGTAACCAATTGATTTGGTTTAGTTCGTGTATTTATGTATTCCTCCTGTATAAACATTTATTAATATAAATGTTTTTTAAATTTATATATTAGTCTCTGTGTGACAATGATTTGATTTGCTTTTAACATCACATTATTTTTCATATAATATTAATATAATAGATAGAGAGAGAGAGAGAGAGAGATTTAATTGAAAATATTGCTTCTAAAAAGTCATGCCAAATAGAGCTAGGATGCGCGGCTGCGGGCCATCCGCCGGCGAAAGAATTGGCAACCTGCCGGGGAAGACACGCGACGAACAAAAATTGGACGAGAAACAGCAAAAGGGGCTAGGGTTTTCTTTTTCGACAGAACGAGAGAGCAAGGTTCATTTCTATTTTAATGTGTATTCATAGTTTATATTGGGTGTATTAGATTTTATTTTATTTTTATTTTTTTATTGTTGACAACAAAATTGACAAATGAGTATTTTGTTATTTTTTGCTTGATTATTGTTTATGTCGTTTTGGATATTTTTCATAATTACGTATATGAGTGATTTTTTTCTTGTTTTATTTGTGTTGATGTTTTATTGTTGCGTATTTTTTGCAAATAGATGTTTGGTTTTCTTTTTTTTTAATGTTTATTTCATTTGATGTTTTATTGTTGCGTACTTTTTGCAAATAGATGTTTGGTTTTCTTGTTTTTAATGTTTATTTGATTTGATGTTTACTCATAGTTTATGTTTGGCATATTAGAATATTTTTTTGTTGAACACGAAAATTAACAAATGAGCAATTTATTGTTGTTTTTTTTAATAGTAATAGATTATTGCAACATATACTAAATATATACTAACTATGAACTCTATATATACTACTCATTCAAAACATGAAAACTTTTACCGACTAGGAACGCAACATATAATGCGTTGTAGCTGCAATTTTTACGGAAAAAAAATGATTCATATACTGTCAACAACACACGTAAAAGAAATCATCAAAAGAAAATAAATATGAGAAAGAAAGTAAGAAAAGAAAAATTGTATGAAGAGATAAATTATACATGTTCCTGTCGACACAATCTCACCAAAAGAAAAATTGTATATGTTGTGTTTATATACAATATGTTTCTAGTATATGTTTTCGTCGACACAATCACAATAAATAATATACATTTTTTATTATATATTTTACATAACTATTTACTGAACATGAAAAAAATTACGGATGA